GGTAATCAGCAACCAAACCCCTAGACCTACCTGCCCCCTAACCTTTAACCTTTAACCCCACTGCTGCTCAAGGCAGGAACTAAAGCCTGCCTGCCTTTCCCAGTGGCTTCACCCCACTCCACGCTCCGACTGGAGCATGAAATGCTTCTATTAAACATATCTATTCACACAGACATTCAGAGAGGATTTTGATAAATTTTATGCAATAAATTTTTAACAGAATCTTAAGGAAAATTGAAGAAATCATGAAGAACTAGTGTCAGAGGCCAAATCTCAGGCTGAGTGGACCAGTGATTTGAGCAAGGCAGGCAGCACCTGCAGACACATTTATATGTTGCCTCATGTGTGTGATAGTTTTCTGTTTCTTTTATTTTAATTTCCCAAGGGGGGGAAAAAACGGTTGAGTTCAGAACATTGTGATACTGGACAGTTCCTCATAGCGTGATTGTGCAAGGATGTAATGAGAAAAGATGGGAAGAAAGTGCTTTATAAGCAATGTCCACATGTCATTTATTGTATCCACACACATGTCTCTGTATAGACTAGGGCCTGAATTCTTAGAATGACATATAATCATAGTTCCCATTTCTTCTGCAACTCTTGCTTTTTCTCTGCCTCTTGGCAAAGATGCTGACTTTGAGGAAACTCACTTGGTGGAAGAGATGTGGAGGTGTGAAGGCAGGAACTGGAATTGGATTGAGTATAAGGCATCTTACTTTACAAGCAGGAATTAAAAAGCACTTACTTAGTATTTGGGATCATATGTTAGCTGAGTTTGTATTAGCTCATTCCCATTTAGTATGTAAGTCACACTAAGTAGAGTATAAAACATTAAATAACCTTCTCCTCCCTTTTGTCTTTCAGATTCATTTGTGGCACTGAATGGTAAGGAAGATATTATTCTCATAATTTAATATCAGTGAAAAATCTCTCCGGGAAATTCAATTTCACTAATCCTCTTGCGTATTTTCAAATCTTGGATTTCTTCTTTAATTAATTTTTTTATCCCCATTATTATTTTTTTTTTATAGACATTTCCACTCCTCTACCAGATCATGAAATGTCTTACAACACAGTGTATGGTCAGTTTGTGGTTTCTTTCTTTTTAATTTTCCAAGTGACTCATCCTGTGACAGCTTATAGTTTTCATTCCTAAACATTATGGACCAGATTCTTCAGGACCCCAATTCACTAAAATTATTTCTAGCATTCACTAATTCTTCAAAAATCACTCTGCCTATACGAAACCATTGATATGTGAGATTGAGTCCTAAATTTTAAATAATGTGAAATATGTCAACCTTAAGGAATTTTGTGAATATATTTAATGAGTTCTTGAGAGAGAGAAAATTACTTTGGGACATTAGTAAATCCAAGAGAAGAGAATAGTACTTATAATTAATAGGGCATAACTCCTCAGCTGATAGAGGATACTATGTCCCAAAATGCTGGCTTTCAAGACAACAGAGGGAAAATCTATACAAGGTGTAGAGATTTGGGTGCTATTAGACAAAACTGTCTTATATAGCTTGGAATTAGCTACCAAAATGTAAGTTCACAAGAGTGAACATTTAGGCAGGTTTTCAGTGCAGTTTCTTCAGAATGTATACAAGCAATAGTAGTGATGCAGTAGAAATGATGTACAAACAGGATTCAGCCCGTTGTTCCTGTTCTGAAATACACAGACACTATATTAAACAAAGCTATACAATCCACAAACAGAATATTCTGAGCTCTTTATAACAAAGGTTGAAATGTAGCTGTTCCATGTACATTTCTCAGAGCCCACCCCTCATATCTATTATGTTAAACTCTTCATATATTTTTGAAATATAATCTGAAAACATAAGTTTAATAGTGAATTTAATCTTCTGTATTGTAAAGGAGACTATGAACTTGATGGATAAATAGATATTGTATAGTATGTGTGTTTAAGATCTGTAACAAAGTAAAAGTGCCAGGACTATATTGAAATATCAGGGTAGATAATAAGAGAGAGGAAAAGAATGAAGAAAAGAAAAAGAAAAACAAATTTAGGATACAAGGAAATATATCAAAATAGTTGCAAATGCATTACACAGCTTTATGCAAAGTCTCACTCCATTTCTAATCGGTGCAGATATGGAGCACAGTGCTGCTTGGTTTCTCCTATCAGCCCACTTGTGTCGTGAGGCAGGGTGGGACAGATGAGCCCACAGAGTCTGTCCACCTTTAACATGCTCTCATCTGTGATTCAAGCCAGAATATTGAAAATCAAAGACCAGAAGATAAATTGTTCAGGAGACAAATGTCATCTAACTTACCTGCCCTTCAGAAAGAGAGCCCACTTAGCATCTGCTCTTCTGCAATATCATACTTTGCAATCAGTTCCTATAACTGAATACTCTTTATCAGATACTGAGAAATTTAGATCTTGAATCTAATTGAAGCAGTAACCTCCCTAGCATTCATCAATCATACCAAGACAAGCTTTGACTCCCAGGTAATCTCTTGTATAGATAATTAAAGGATTGGATGCTCTTTATGAACAAAAATCATTCTCCAAGCTACAGATCTCTTATTTGCTTTATAAAATGAACAGACTTATTAATCCTCCCATATTAACACTTTAAAGGACAGTGTCCATTCATCTTCAGCTCTTGATCAGCTATTTCTGTGATTAAACTCAAGAAGAATTGAACGTTTCCTTTCAGCTAATGATCTGTCTATTTCAGGCTAAATCTATCTAGTGTGAAGTCATTAGATGATTAATTGACCATTAAAATGGGGGCTCATCCAGGCTTAGAAAAAAAAAAAAAATAGAAGACTTTTTTAAATAAATTATTACAAGAGATGCTTATTTTGGAGTTGTTCTTGTGTGCCATCAAATAGATTCCTATTCATAGCGACCCTATAGGATGGAGTAGAATTCATGTAAGGTTTCCTAGGCTGAAACCTTTATAGGAGTGGATCACGAGGTCTTTTCTCCCTCAGATCCACTGGTGAGTTCCAACTGCATACCTTTCAGTTAGCGGCTGAGTGTTTTGACTGTTATGCCACCTGGGCTCCTAACTTTGGAGTTAATAGATCCAAAATGGATTTAATTAATTCATTCTGCATTTAATTAGTTCATTCTTTAGTGTGTACTGTGTTCCAAGCACTCATTGTCCTAGGTGCTGGATTTGTAGCATCACAGGAAGGGCCATATTGTTATTTATATGATCGTAAATATAGACCTGGAAGCTGACCTCAAAGTCCAAAGTGTCCATTCTCTAGCTGTGTTCTTTGCATGTCCTCAGAGAAAGCTCAGTAGCTCAGTGCAGGCCTATAGAGTAAACTGAAGAATGAGAATACCCAGCTCATGAAAAGGGATAACTTCAATACACCAATGCAGACTTTCTGCTTGGCAGAATCTCTGTGCAACACCAGTTACATATGCAAGAACACTTTTTTAGTGAATTGGACCCTGATTATTTGCCTTCCTTCCTAGTCTCTTATATTGATTTAGTGTCTCCTTGTATCTAATTGGGCTGCAAAGGTTGTTAATAGGTTAGAGTAGTTTGAAGGGTCTCTAACCTGGAATCACAATGATTTGTAGATACAGAGAAACAATATAATGCATATTGAAGTTGACTTTTAAAATATATCTATATCTTCGTATTTTATGGCTCCATTGATTAAAGTATGACCTTTTCTTATTAGACTGACAAAGTAAAATTATAGGGTCCAAATTGGTTGACATGTCATACCATATCCACAAATGATTATTTTTGTAGCATTCTTTTGGCTACAAAATCTCTTAGGAAATGTATAAAAACAAGATAGCCTTTAAAATCAGGTTACAAGAAGGAATAAGTGGTTTCCTTTTGTTGTTGTTGTTATGTGCAACTCATAGCGACCCCTCCTTGGGTTTCCGAGGCAGTATCACTACGGAAGTAGGATTGCCCAACCTTCCTTCCGAGGAGTGGCTGGTGGGTTTGAACCGCCAGCCTTCTGGGTAGCAGTCAAGTGCTTTAGCCACTATGCTACCAGAGCTCCTGGTTTCCTTTTAGTATTTTTTAAGGTTGAAGAAATGATAATACACATCTTTGATGACAGATTTCAGGCTAAGGGATGTTGCTTAATGGAGCTTTTACATGGTGGTTCTAAAATTTGGGGGAATCAGTTATTACCCTCTTCAACTATTTAATTCACCACCAAGACATGTTCCCTATCCTCAAGCTCAAGTTTTTAAAAAAACTCATCTGCTATATCTTTTCTTTTCTTTTTTGAGAAAATTTGATGCATCGTTTCTCTAGATTTACATATAGCAAATAGAGATGTGGTGGGTATTAGACTAACACTTCAGTGATAGGGAGAAGAGGCTGATTTCTCACATTTGTGTTAAACATTTTCCTACCTAACTACCATCTGGTCCACATTAATTTCCTCTCATAGCCATAGCTTTCCATTACCAATGAGTTTCCCATGTATTTGCAGCATATGGTCCAGGAAATCTTTCTACAGAGAATGTGTCCCTTAGGCATATATTTCCCCTAGATTACCGTATTAAGAAATGTTCTCCCTAAACCATACTTACGACATTACCATAAAATTGCCCCTTGAACACAGTTAAATTGAAAGTGCTCAAAATGCATATCAATTCAGGTAAAAGAAATTCTTGCTACTTGGAGGAGAGTTTTCCTCCCCGCCCCCTCCCCCCCTTTCCCTTTCCCTTTCTAACTCCCTACAAAGCTACTGCTAATTGTTTGCTTATGCTGGGTGCTGAATTCTGCCTGAGACAGACCATATATTTTATTAGAGCTGTCCTGAACTCAGAAATGGAAAATGCAGGCTATGTTTCAGACCTCAATATAAACAGAAAGGGCATAAAGGAAATTCTGAATTTCCATTTCTTAGGCTGATTTTCCTGCTTCTTATCAGGATTTTGAGATGAGCTGTGAAATCCAAAAATGTGGAAATGGAAAGTGTAGCTCTTAGCTCTTCCTTGAGTTTGAAATGACTGTGTTTTTAGCAGTTGCATATGAACTGAACTACTTGCAACAAAGCAGATATTTGAAGCTATGTTGGGCCAAACAAGTTCCACACAAAAAGGATCTTCATAAATGCTATGAAAGAAATCTTTGGCATAGGTTTTCTTGCTAAGCAAAATTTAAAGAAGACAAAAAGCAATCTTTCTTCTTTGTAAGACATGTTGTCTCTAGTATGCTATATTAAAGCTTCCTGCAAATCCAATTTCTAATAATAATTTTGAAAGGGAAGAATGCAGTGCATTTATCATCATAATCTATCTTTCTGGTAGCCAGTACTTTATTTACCACATAATTGTGATCACACAATGAAGGTGGAACTAGTTTGGTATTATTGTGAATCTGTCCTACTTTCTACCCAAAGCACCAATTACACATTCACAATAGTTACCCTGGTGTCTTTGTAAAAATTGTCCAATAGGTAAATTGGTTTAATAAAACAAAGTTTCTTCTTGAATGTCAACAAGCAGTTATATTTCATTTCTATCAAAGAGAACAAGTAGTGAGGCTTCCTGAAATTGTTGTGACAGCATAGATCAAAGCATGTAATACAATCTGCATTTAACCTCACAGAATGATAAAGGATGAGCTTAGGAATATAGTCACAGGAAAAGCCCAGAGTTTCTGTCATAACTCCCATCCTAAATATCCTTTTTCTATAGTTACCCAATGGGAGGCAGCCCTGGATCTCCAAAAATCTCTCCCTGTCTAATATGAATCATACCAGTCAATGATCGTGAAGTCTCCAAAAACCTCTCCTAAGTACAATTTGAGTCATGAAACTACTTTTATTGGGATAAGATGCAAAAGGCACAGCCACACCAACTTGTAACAGTGAAGCCTCCATCCCAGTGAAAAGGAAATGCCTGTGGAGTTGAGTTGAAGCTGAACAGACACACAGTCAAGTTTCCGTAAGAAGTGTTTGGGACAGCTGAGCTGTTTGTGATGGAGAAGAGTCTCATCCGCTACTGTGGATCAGTCATCTACAGTGTCCCTAAAGTGGACCTATTCTGCCTTTAGTGCTGTAGGGGACTAGCAGAGAAAACTACTGCTATTTGTGTGTGTGTGTGTGTGTGTGTGTGTGTGTGTTTGCACCTTGTGTATGTCAGACACTCCTAGGTGCCTTCACACATTATTTTGTCCTCCCAACTACCCTGAGAGGCAAGTGCCACTATCCCTACTTCGTACAGGGAGGAAAACCCAGCCCCAGAAAGGTTAAGTGATCTCCCGAGGCTCGTTCAGTGAATGGCAAAGATAGGATCTGGCCTGAATCCTTCCACTGAACCCACCACCTGCTAAGCCTTGTCATTTCTAGCATGATTTCCTTTCAGACTTTTAGCCAGCTTGGGTGCCTCCCTCCTGGCCACTGAACAAAAGGACTGTGGGTCTCTCTGGTGATGTTTCCCTAACTATATTTGTGATGAAAACAGGGCATTCCAGTTCCCTCTTGCCTAGCACCACCACGTCAGACTCCACGGCTCAAGAGGGGTATGAGTCTAGGGGAGGAATGCTGGACTGGAAGGATCTGCTCGATTCACCTGACAGCACAGACCCACTGGGGGCAGTATCTTCCCATAATCACCAAGACAAGAAGGGTAAGGCCTTGGAAACACCTCTTCCTCTGGGGGAAAGGGAGGGAAAAGTGGGGAGGACTATGTAACTGCTTCCAGCTGAATCAGGGTAGCACCAAAGGAACCTCCAATGAGCTATGATGGAAAGTTTATCAAAACAGAACAAAATGCAACAATCTACAAAGCTTTTGATCCTAAAGATTTCCTGACCAAGGAGAAACCACACAAAACAAATAACACATCCTCTAAGTTTCCTCCACTCAAAAGAGGTGTGGCTTGGGGCAAAGTAGATGCTGGCTCTTGCAATCCCTTTCCACTCCTCTTAGCCTCATTCTGTGATTTTTGGGCCCTGTTTTCCCATCATAATGTAATAGAACACAGTGGGGGCTTTGGCAAGTGAATGCAATCTAAGTAAAGGCCCTTTAATCAGTGAATTGAGAAATAGCAGGGCAGAGTCTTTTCTGGCTGGTACCGTCTCTCCCTCTTGCATGGTGCTGAATTTGAATAGAGCCAAGGTCCTCAGACGTACTGTAATTGCCCTTAGAGGATAACAGCTAAAACAAAAATATGTTATTTAATCAAGCAGAATTGCTATGCATTTAAAACGGAAAGGAAGGCACACTAAATGAAAGGGACTCTACTGTGAACTGTCCTAAATTCTCCCTTGCTTTCTTTGCTTAACTAGAGGCAGGAAATGTCATCTCTTTTCTCGCCATTTGCTGCTTCTGGTAACACATCCTACTTTAGTTGCAGCTGCAACCAAAGAGGCCTTTACTTGTCCAAAAAACAGTCTTGTAAATCAGAGACTGAAAAGACCAGTTATGTTCCTGAGCTGTTTCCCCCCATTCAGAATTGTTTACTTCTATATGTTTTCAAGAGTTTCATCCAAGCGAGGATTTGAGTCTCAAGGGCAGAGCAGCCACTGAGACTCTTAGCAGACAGTCTCTATCACCTCCACCTACAAGGTTGTCTGCATATAAATTTCCATCTTTACTTTTATATACTGTTTTCTAGTTCATGGAACATTTCCGTCCTCTTTTTTGCTCCTCGACCCAAGGTCTACTTGTCAAGCCAAAATGTAAAGATTTACCCCTTTTTGTTTTGTTCTTGGGGAATCCCTGGGTGGCACACGTGGTCAAGCGCTTGTTTACTAACAAAAGATTGACGGTTCGAAGCCACCCAGAGGCAACTCCGAAAAAAAGCCTAGTATTCTGATTCTGAAAGATCACAGCTTTGAAAACTCTGTTGAGTGTACTTCTACTCTGTAACACATGAAGTTGCCATGAATTGGGATCAACTTGATCAACAGCAACTGCTTAAGTTTTTAGGTTTGGGTTTTTTTTTTTTTTTTCTTCTTTTTTCCTTATTCTTGAGTATGTCTCTTTAATTGATTACGTTTTTCTTCTGTAGGCTTCCTCTTGTTAGTATAAATTGCTTCAATTCTTTTTTAAAAAGGGGGGAGCAGTTCTTTCTCTTCAGCCTCTCTAAGTTGGAGGGATCTCTGTGACTTAAACCATCCTCAGAAAGCACCAGGCTGATTTGTACTGGGTCAGTGGAACTGTCTCCATGGGTCACAAGCCCTCGCATGTGCCATTATTTGTTATGTGTGGCTCCAGACCTCAGATGTGTTGGTTTTGGCTGGTTTCTCAAGAAGAGACAGCTCAGTAAAATTACTGTGTTTGCACACTGTGACTTTCTGGGAAAAATGGAAAAACAAATAACAAGCAAACAAAACCCAGCCTTTCCAGTAAAGCATTAACTATGTCAACCAAATATCTAGCTGTTGGTTGCAATAATTTTCTCTTCCTTTCACTGATAGGGGTGGTGTTAATTTTCTCCAATAATTAGCTCCCCCAAGGAATGGAGGTTATCAAAGAGTCCAATTAACACTTTGACTGATCATTTTAAAATTCAGTATTGTTCATTCTCCTGGGTCTTATTATGAATATTGATGAAGCTGGAAGCAGTCTACATATTGTCAGACAATGGTGGCAGAGGTGATTGCATGGGTGTTTTACATGATCACTGTTCTTGTGCTATTAACTCCTTGCCTTGCCCTGTCAAATTTGAGTTTGATTTTCAACTATTGATTATGCACTTTGATGGGGCAATGCCAATGAGTTGTTGTGCAGAAATTTAAAACAAAAAAAAGATGTAGCTTAATGTTCCTTTCACCATGACTTTTATGATTTTAATTTCCATTTTGCTATGAATTGTTTTCTTTTTAATGTTCATGATTTACTTCAAACTTTTGTTTTGTTTTGCCAAGCCCTGTGTGGTATGGCTTGGTGACTGCGTGATTCCCTTGGAAAAGTCTTGTTTCTTTTCTGACTCATTATGATGTCCCTGAACTTGAAATCAATCTGTGACCCCCTTGCTTCTTTTCATTCCCTGACGTTGGTGCCTTGATGATGTCACATCCGTGTGTGCAGCATCTCCTGGGATGCAAGAGTTTCATGGGTTTTCTGAGGGCCTCTGACAGGTGCTCTTTTCATTGGGTCTCTTGTCTCATGGGAATGTGACATTTGTGTGCCCCAGCTTTTGGAGCTAAATATACTCTGGAATTGTTTCTAAAATACCTCTCATTTCTCCACTAAGCAGAAAATGTATCCACTGACCAGCTGAGGAGGAGTCAAGTGCATGGTGCCCTTTTTATTTTGGCTGCTGTAAAAGACTAGTGAACAAATGAGTGCAGAGCTCTGTGGATGGCTGACTGCCACTGCACTGGTGTCATTTTTTCACCAACCCCCCAACCTCCTCACCAAACAATTCCACATTTCCAGAGTATGTTTGCTTGTCTTTTTCTTTCTTTTCCTTGCTGTGTCTTTCTTATTGATTTAATCCTGTGCGTCCCTCACATTCTGTCAAAGCACCGTCCCTCACCTGGCAGTCTAACCCTCTTCTGCTACCATTGTCCTTAGCCTCCCCCTTTCAAAATAATAGACCCAAGCCCTTTGTCCCTCTGTGGAATGTTCCAAGGCTCTTCCCTGTACATTGTGAGTAGCTTTATGATGCTATTTGTATATATACTCATACTAACAAAGCGCCAGAAGAAACCTGCCAAGCACGCAGAAGCATTATCATGGAAAATGAAGTAATTTTCTCTCTCAGTAACTGGCCTTGCCCTTCATTACCCTACTGGCCTTGTCTAATGTCTCTTGTCCTTGCTGCTTTTCTTTAAAATTGCCTGGTATCTTTCAAGCCCTAGATTCATTAGTAAAAACATAGCCAACTGCTCTGTTTTATCTCTTGGTCCCTAGATGTCTGGAGCCTCCCGAGCTAGCCCTTTAATCACCAAGGTGATAAATTAGATGCAGCCCTGGCTACTTCTTTGTTAGTTTTGCCACATTTAAAAATATATATTATTTATTCATTCTATAACTATTGAGGTGGTAATGGGTAGTTACAAAGGGGCTTTAATTACAAATGAAAAAGAAAGAAAATCCAGTTTATTTTTAGATCGGGCTTGTAACCCCCCCCCCCCCCACACACACACACACTCTCGCATTCACTCCACAGCAAGAGAAATAAACACTTTCTTTTTTTAGGTTAAATAGTACTGAGAACAAATAGCCACTTCTGTACCTCTTGTTTCTTACCAAAAGTAACAGTGTAATAAGACCTGGTTTCTGAGAAGACTGAAAGATATGTGAGAGAATTAGCCATGTCCAGATCTGTAAAGAGAGCTGTGTAGTATAAATACAAAATAGAAACACCAACTACTGCCATTAGGGCACAAGAATACATCATGAACAGAAGGAATCTCCTAATGACTTTATTGCATAGGATTCTTGTGAGCTCTCTGAAGAGATGAAACAGTCAATAGAGAGAGAGAAAGATGCCTTTCTAAAAAATGTTCCCATTTGATTGGAAATGTCAAAATTGTAGTATGCTTGTGTATTTTGGGAAATCATTAAAGGAAGATATTATCACATTATGACACTGAGTCAAGAAAATATGCTCATTACAGAGAAGAGAGATTTAGAAACAATTTAAGTTAGAGGTCAAATGAATAATCTAAATTAAAAAAGTATGTGTTGAATATATTTAAATCAATGTACAAGTTATTTGTATAAGCAATTTTTTATTTTGGGAAATAATATTCCAGTAAGAATCAAGAAGTCTATAAAGGATGATGAATATACTGTCCTCATTTCACCAGCAATCCTGAGAGAATTTTATGAATCACGGAATTTATCAACAGTTCTCTTTATCATCAATTATTTATTCTGCAAATGCATTGCAGCCTATAGCAGTTAAGCCACCAAATGCGACATGTAACACCTTCCATGGGATGATTGAGGTGGCACCGGGACATCATGACCTTTAGTAACATTGAATCATATGGTGGAAAGTTACACCGTTTCCATTTTTCTTTTAGTCTTCTTGGTTAAGTCCAGGAAAAAGTCTCGGTTTGGTGCTTTATCTTTAATCAACCCCCTAAACTTGCTACTACTGTTCCTTTTTGGCAGAGAGCAGGCTTTTATACTGGAGGTGTTACCTTGCAGCAGGATCTAGCTGGAATTTAACATTGTTCTGTTTTCAGTTAATTTTATTTTTATGGTTATCTTCTATCTATGAAAGGAACTCTGATGGCGTAGTGCCTAAGGCATTTGACCACTAACTAGAAGCTTGATGGTTCAAACCCACCACCTACTCCATGGAAGGAAGTTGGGGCAATTTAATTCCATAAAGTGTTATACCGCCTGGGAAACCCAATGGGAGTCGCCATGAGTCGGAATCAAGTCAATGGCAGTGGCTTTGGTTTTTGGGGTTTTCTCTCTATGAAAAATGATTTTTTTTCTGTTGATGATGATGTAAAGTTTCTATTTGAAGTGTTTTTTAAAAAAATCATTCATGTAAACTCTTCAGTAAATGTTAATGCAGGAGACATTACTCCATCACCATCAACCGTCAAGTCAATTCTGACTCATGGCAACCCCATGTGTTATAAAGTAGAACTGCTCATAGGGTTCTCTTGGCTGGAACCTTTACAGAAGCAGATTGCCAGGCCTTTCTTCCTT